AACTGCGCCGGCCATCATGCGTGTCCATAGATAGATGGAGGAACACTGGCCTAAAAGCAGATCTGAGTAAGGAAGTATAAGATTTAAAACAGGTCCATAGGGGACGGTATGGAAAACCCGTAACGAAACTTCCAGATGTTTCACGGCTAATGTCGCTTCAGTTGTTAATAGCTTTTCTGCAGAACACGGGACTGGGAGAGATGCCGAAGGTAGACGTCAACGTCAACCCTTCTGTTAGGGGTCATCACCATTCTCCCATCCGTAGCATATGTACTTCTTCCGTCCCACTAAGGCTTATCACGCAGAAGTGGAAAATCAGGATACATGTCTTTTAAGATCGGGTTCGCTTTCCGCTGCCACCAATGTAGCGTCCCGAGACTCCCTGAAGACGAAAGAAGACACAATACTCGTGCAGAATATATATATTTAGCACAGAGAAGGAGTCTGGGCTATTGGCATGGCCCAGAAGGCCAGCCCACCCAGCGAGGCACAAGGGGGCTAGTTCGAAGTAACAAAAGTGGCGCCTCACCAGAACCGAGGGATAAGCCACTATCGTATTACAGTAGTGCATAGCATTAAATTCGAATTTTCCATAGGAAAGAAGCGCACAAATTATTAGTGGCAAATCCACAATTTTGGAGTCCTGTGTTTCATTCGCATAATTACTTTTAATTTCAACTTTGCCTTCGCGAAGTCAAACAAAGCATTCTTAAACAAAAAATTAAGAAGATCACATATTATAAGAATTTTTATAAAACGCTTTAATTGCATTGAGTTAGTTCTTTTTTCCTAATGAGGGTGAAAATAATGCATACCACTATCGTTGTGCATCCTTATCCCTCTATAAATTGTAAAGCCCTTGGTCTACAATTCTAAATTTCGTAAAAAGAACAGGTTGGATGCAAAATTTGCATTATATTTCGGCCCATGCTTTAGCGAAACTACAATAGTCTACTACAATTGTTGCCGCCCAAATCAGACGTGCTCTATGGTGGAGTGCTGGCGTTGCTCCTTGATCGGTCGAAAGCAGGATGATGGGAATTTCCCGACCAAACGTCATGAGTAAAGTCAGTGTTCCTTTACAAACGTTAGTTAATTACACCTGGATTGGCCCTTAGCTGTTTGTTGAGTGGGTTGCATATTTGATCTGCCTCAGTATGCAGTTCATTAAATTTGACCGCTCAGTTTCCTGTTTCCTAACACGGTTCATCGTTTATACATAGCATGCTGAGTTAATAATCGACGCAAAAATGCTTTTATTTGCTTCACTGATGTTATTTACGATCAACTCCTTATTACGCCTCAGTTGTATGGTCATTGTCCATTTCGTATTTGATATCACTCCTTACTTTCTTCCTGACATTGAAAAACTTAAGGCCATGTGCAGATTTGACATTAATTTTGAATGAGTGCCATAGGTTACGTTAATGTTTTGATTTTGTCAAGTATACTATAACATTACTGAAATAAATGCCTTCTGTCGGCAGTAAGCTTCGCTAAAAGAAACCGGTGAAACAATTGTTAAGCTCTGGTGATATATTTCTTTGCCTTTTTTTGTTTAAGCAGTACATTTTAATAGTTTGCATGAGACACTTGTTTTGATCAGCACCACCATTTAAATCGTTCAATTTACATGGACTTTATTGAAGTTAGGCTTTTCTATGTGCAATCTTGTAATTTTTCAGTAATTAATGCGTAAATTCTCCATTATGACTAGGTTTGAGTGCTTCGCCTGTTCGTAATTCTTGTCTCGCAGTTGTCGACCCCATTTTCGCTCTATTTTATCTGTTTCCAACTTGCCTTAATTTGATTTTACTCTAATAAAGAACTAATCAAGTAATCCCTCAATCACCTACGCAAGCGTCCCTGCATATATGCTCTGCATAGTACTCATACATGCTTGCCATGCCTCATTGCGCTTAATCGCAGTTTTTTTATCTATTTCGCGTTCCTTTCAAATTTGATATCCTCAATTTTGCACACTTTAAGGCAGGAATCTGCGTATATTGTGTCCACTTTTTGCAAAATCATCGAATCACTTTTCATCATCCACTTTGGGGCGATTATTTTTGGATTGAACAACAAATCTGCCCGAGGCGGTATGATTTTGGGTAGCGTTGACAGTAAAAGTCTTGTCCTTTTCCCTCTGTAGAATCCAAAGTTGCAGGAAGACATCGAGAGAAACTTGAAAGTGCGCGATGGAGCATCGCGTATTCTGGCTGTGGCGGCGAACACCATCCAACGTCTTGACGCCGCCAAAACCATCCTCGTCAGCAATTCGCGTTTGGTAGTCTCCATGCAACAACTTCAGCGCGAGAAGACGAGTGAAGCCAATGCCGCCGCTGCAGCTGGTCATGGGAATCAAGATACCAATCCTCTTACTACCTCGGGCAAGCATTTCTGCACTGGCAAGGCCACTCTCTGCCTTTCAGGTACTGTGCAACCCTATCTACAAGACTGATGTTTCATCGCGTTTCGGTGACCATAGCACGATTTCATGTGCAGCAGATAGTAAATCGTATATTAATTTTATATGTCACTCAATTACGCTTGAAGTACTGTGAGCACTTGTAAACTATGCACTTTTTAATACGACGGTGAATGATGCGCCACTTTGCAACTTTCATCTAGCGTTTCTTTTGGACTAATGCATAAATTATACATTCTCCTGATGGCTTTCCGAAAAGGCAAAATCAAAATTTCGTTCACTTTTTTCCACATCAAGTGTGGTGTTGATTTTTATTTCCTCATTCCGTCTTCGACATAATTAAATAAATTTATCAGAAATATACTCATCTGGGATTTTTCCTTTATTTGGTGATTGCTGTTCCTTCAATGTCTGCTTTTTGGCCCTAGGCATACGCATTCCACTCCTGTGGAAGGATACTTCACTGACGCCGAATGCATCCTCGACACTCAGTCGGCTTCTCGATCCCGGCTTTCAGTGGGCGTCAGCGCCTTCCAGTGGCTACTCCTCTGCGACTCTAGGCCGACAACAGCGACCGCTCTCGACTGTCCTTTCCATGGCAACCGTAGGTGCACTAGCTGGTGGAGATGCGGCTGGAGAGGCATGCTCGGCCTTTGGCATCGTTCGTGTGGGTGATCAAATTCGAGAGACGCGTCTTCTCTGTGAAGTCTATCCAGGGTCTGCCGACCTCGAGTTCGATGATGTTCTTACTTTGTAAGTGGCTTCTTCAATTGGCCGAGTTTGTTTCTAGTAATCTCTACATGCCTACATTTCATCCAGCTCCAGTGCTGCTCTCGCTATTTGCTGGAAGCCATTCTTTATGCCTATTCACGCGTAACCTACCTATAGTTTGCATTAGATAATCCATCTTTACAGTCGTTTGCGTTGTTGAAGCAAAAGTGCACATGATTGGCTGTGCAGACATATCAAAAGCAGGATTTATCCGCTTTCTAGTTTCCAGTCTCTTAATGACGGTACGGAAAATGTTGTGCTTTGTGTATAATTGTTCCCCAATATTTTATGAAGAGCAGAATGTGCACATTTAGTTCCATGTACAGTTAAGGTCCCGAAGTAAGTTGTCCAGAATTATTCAGTATGATGAGAAGGCTTTTTGCATTTCCTCCTTACCTTGGGAGCCATGTGGTAAACATTTTTTTAGAATGATTCTGAATTCTTGCAGTGCTTTTTTGATGAGAGATTCAACGCTTGGGGAGGTGGTGTCGATCTCTTTACTTGGTTTTTATTTCTTATCCCGAGCACTGTCATTAGCATGATTAACTTCAAAAGCGGTAGACATTAGTGCTCCGAGTCCTCATAAGACCAACACTTAGCTTTAGTCTAATTTCCAATGATGCGGGTAGTTGTTTTGTTTGTAACAATTTTCCGTTTTGGTCAAAATTTGGTTTTGGTTTTATGAAAAGAAGAGCTACTAACTTGGCAATTCTGTTGTTTCGTAGTGAATGAAAACGCACTACGTCATAGTAAAATCTGGTTTTGGTTTTTTTGCTATTTGCTACTTTTTCGGTCCGTAGATCATCACGACGGAAGCCGGAGATGACGGTTTGCTCTTCGTCTGGCTCGTTTTCGAATTATAACTAAAATTTTTGCCATAAAGCCTATTGCTAGACAAGAAAGTAAACATATTGAAGTAGGGTTTTTTAATATTGCAAATGATGCTTTGTACATAACTAAGAGTGATCGTAGGCAGTGGAATTAAACACAAATTGATATTGATTGGACTTTAAAAACATGTTTTATTGCTAAATGTTCATAATTCGTATTGTGCAACTTGTGCTGCATCTTAAATTATCGAATGACATCCTCTTACAAATCGGTTTGAAGTATGGTTTCATCGATATCCAAATCATACAATCACGTGATTGGAATTGTTTACAGCAACTGGATTCTATTTAGTTTAAGCGGTCAAAACCTGTTCTACTAACCACAGAATTTGACAGTATTCAGCTTGGATGACTTCTAAATCATTACTTATCTTGTAAATAGAGTATTAATACGAAGCTTTCGAGCAAACCCCCTTACTTGTCAGATGCTTCGTATTTTAAATTTCATTCAAGTGAGAACGTACAGCCCGACTTTGAATGCAAAATTGAGATATATGGTTACCAGTCTTCGAATGGCCAAGGGGTCAACAGTTTTTTGCGGCGCAAGTCCCAGATGGATTCCACTTCCGCCGCTAATCGTAACTCCGTCTTCCTCGGCACTCTCACGCCCGAATATACCAAAGTAAGCAGCACTTGTCACTAATTGTAATGCCTCTCAGTAGGATTCACCCTTGCAGGTGTTGGGGCTGTCCGAATAAAGGTACTTTTCCATATCATTTTATTCATTGTATCTATATAGTATTGGCAATGTAGAAGAAGTAACGCAGATGTATTTTTTCAAGTGCGTTTATTTTTTTATCTTTTTATGATGCCAAATTCGTTGAGCTAACGATAAATAGCTTCCTCTGACTTGTGTGATTTCATGGTTAACGCGATTTCAAAGTTCCTTGCGCTTGTTGCTGTTTCTTTTTTAATCTTAAGAATTTCCTGGTTATCATTCATCTTAGCTTTACCAATTCACTTTAAGTCCCATAAAACACCTTGAAAATGTTGTCTTTGTTTTTTCTTAGCTAGTTTCTTCAAAAGTAATCGACTAATGCCCAGGTGATCCCCTTTCGTTAATCACTCTTTCTAAGATTCTTCATTTTGTGGGTTCTCACTGTTCTAATCAGGTATATGGCCACAGGTCAACAATACGTCATGAGGAGACAACGTGATTGCACTTTTTACCTCTCCGTGACTTTGATTCACTAATACAGTTTTCCATAATTTACTTTTTTAAATTATTGCCGGTCAATTACTTATTTCTCCAAATAAATTTTCTTTTTGAGACTGTTCATCTCCGCAGTCACGTAAGTGCAATTCATCTAACAAATGCTAAGCTAAGCATTTCTGTTTACCACAGCCAATAATCTCATCTCTAATTATCTACTTACACTCAGCTGGGCTTCGACTAAATATTGGTTTCTTTCATCTCACAACAAAATTTCGACGTTTATTTGATATAAACCTTTGTTAATGACCTCTTCCTTGTGTTACAACAGGATTCCAAGACGGGTCGGCGGATTTCCATTTCCTCAAACAGGTGAGCTATTTTAGAATTAGATTTTTTTGCATTGTGTGGCAGTTCTGGCTTGGCATGTGATTAGCTTAATCTCTCACGAGTCATGTGAACAGCAAGTCCATAATATTAATGTGCATTTCAGTGGGGAATAAACGAGCGTATCCATAAATTTACTCCTTGTGTTAGTTAAAATGTGGTGATTTCTTCAATTTTTCAAAATCCAAATGTGAACGCAATTTTTTTCTTCTTAACGTTGAAATTCTATTTTCACAACAATCCAAATGAGGTTAAATTTGAGTGCTGCAATTTTTTACTCATGCTTACTTCGGTATATTATGTAAAGTACCCTATTCTAATTAAGGTGTAGCGGTTGAGTTGAGACCGATAATGCCGTGCAATACATTTCAAATAATCTACACACCTCTATGAATGATATAGTCCAGCAATTGACTGCTGCTTCGCTCTTGTGGCACGCTATTCGGCAAAACTGGCGGACTTGGGAGAGAAGGTGCTTGCTCACCCCCTGGAGCTTCTCTCCAGTCACAGCCACAGTTCTTCCCTCCACTCCCCCTCCTCGGGCATCAACTTTCCTTTCTCCGGTGCCTCTGTACTTCCAACCAGCGAGGCCGTTCTGCCTCTCTTTGGCCCCATCTGTTTCTCTCTTACGGCTCTACCGGATTCCGTGCAGAGACCTGTTCTCTCCGGATTACTATGGCTTAGGGTACACCTCTCTATTTACTCCTTTTCTGGTCATTTTCATGAAAAGCTATTTTGTAGATACTTTCGCCAAATATGCGACTGCGACAAACGGATAGCAGGCCTCACTATCCGCATTTGAAACAAAATTTTGGTATTCTTTGCAATGAATTTTAATGTGCTGAAATTGTACTAGCTTGGCAAATACAGTGTTGTTTTCAGTATTTTATGCATGATTCACTGGACCATTTCAAGTAGGTACTCTCATTTTCATTTTACAGACACTGAATGATTCTTCCACAGTTAATGCTGCCAAGCTCTACTCTTGTGAACTGTACAATCAACGCCTTTACGCCAGGCTTATTAAACCGAGTGAACGAACGATGGTACGTGCTTTAGTGTGGAACGTGTCCCACTCCTGCATGAGGTGTGGTGCTTTCATTGCGATGCCCCCCCATTGATTTCTGCCCTTGCTTCGTTTTCCCATGATTAACTCTATTGAAATATATCATCTACGCGTTGCCACTTATCTGTCACGTGTTTTCTTTGCATTTCCTTAACTTCCAGTCTCCCGTTAAAAGCGATCGTGAGAGTACTGACGAATCGATGGATGAAGTGAGGCTACGAAGTTCAACGTCAAGGGGAGTTGGGAAATCGCCCAATAAATGGGACATTGTAATCAAAGTGGATCCGGTAATCTTCAATTTTCAAACACTGGATTGTTGACCTCAATCTGTGCAGTGGCAGATTTATCGAAAAACTGTTTCATTTTTAAAAAACATTGCATTTTTATCACCGATTATTTGTCTGTGGGTTTTTGCGGATTTTCTGAACGAAAAATCAGTGTCACCGCAACTTATCAATTCAACTGCCGATCTTATTGATTAAGTCGCAGAATTCCAGTCTTCGCTTTGTCAATATTCTCGTTACCTGATGTAAACCGTAAACATTCCGTTCATTTGTGTTGACTAGTATTCACCCACTTGATTTATGTCAGTGCGCTTTTTTCTCGCTCATCCTTCATTTCTTTCTTTAGTCTACAGAAATAGTAGATGACGAACCAGTCTGCCGCTCAATGCCACTATCAATTAAAGCTCTCACATGGGAGGAGAGAGAGTACCTTCTGTCCAAGCCGCAGCGACTCCCTCGAAGGTTTCTCTCCGCGGATCCTCTCCTCGGTTTTACAGCGTCAGGAGAGGAAACTGGTAGTGGTATTAACGACGATAATAGTGATCATACAAAAATCGACCTCCACAATTCAATTGCGCGAATTCGGAGCCTTGAAGAGATTCAGGTGACGAACTCAATGTTTCTAGAGAGGCGAATGGCGACACTGCGTATTGTTTCGAGGCTTTTTGGTGAGGATGACAAAGTCGTTGTTGAGGTGGCAGCTTTTAACTCACAGTTTTTCATGAGTACAAGTGATCTTGAAGATAGTGTACTGCTGAGTGATTGGCTCTTCGCCATGCGTGAGCACATTGAAGAACAAGGTTTGTTGTTTACTTTCTATGAGCACGCATAAAATTCAAGTTCAGCCTTTATTTGGCTAAACTTTGCTATTAATGTATTCCTTTCAGCGAAATGGGGTGTTGAGGCATTCGGACACGAGATATACATTCCAGAGGCAACCTCTCTCACCAAGCACGGGACTGTCATAAGAGCCTCAACAATTCCAGACATCCCCGCCGCGTCCTTAAAAGCATTGAGTTCTCCCATCGCTGAGGAGGCTTCAGCACCTCCCATCACTGCCCTCTGATCGTACACGCTCGCCCTTCCTGTTTTCATCGCCTCCTCCTCTTCCTTTACAGCGCCTAACTCTTAGCTTCCTCCCTACATCCTTTTAATCATGCCTAGTTTTTAACTTTTATAGCAAATATTTCCAATCCCGTTTCTAAAGTTTAGTACTGCGCGTTCGTGAATTAGTGTGATTACTAATGCTTGCCATTAGAAAAGGTCAATCAGTGTGGATTAAAATAGTCTTTGGAGTTCTGGCGAGTATGCTGATACTGCCAAATGAAGCTTCACGTCACAATTCTCAAATCGTTGAAAAGGTATTTTAATGCTGCTGTGAGGCTATCGGCATTCACTTCTTGATTTGCACTTTGGTTTCCGAAGAGATGGATTTTCGACCTCACTTGTCTCAAGTAATCCCTATTATTTCATTGGAATTTTGTTGTAAGGAGTCATAATCGAGTGGTTTGTAGATTCGCAAAGTTTTTGAGTCCCTAAGTGCTTTTAAAAACGGTTTGTTGAACAATTGTGGGTGTCTGTGCGAGTGTGAACGCTTAAGCTATACTTTTAATAAGATACGGAGAATTTGTCGATACGGAAGCTGAATATTTATGCCTCCACAAAATGTATCAAATAAATAATATTTGAAGTTTGATGGAGTGTAGTGAATCGATGTTGAGATGTTCATTCAGCCAGGAGGACGTGGCAGCACGTTATTCCCACAGCTCTCTAGTCCTTCTGTGCACCGAAAATAAACTGTTCTTGTTGCCATATCTGGTTACAAAAATATTGCTGCCGTAGAAGGTTGAATCTGTGGTGACTCACAAATGAAGAGTCGTGGGGGCGGGCATCTCTTATGAATATCTTAGGTCAACGACTGCTAACGAAAGGCTTCCTAGTAGTCCATGCTCGCTTCAGTGCACTACCCAGCCATTAGCACAATCCTTTGAATAAATTCAAGCTCAGTGACACTCCTCTTGCAAAAGACTCAATATCTAACAATCCCGACCGGACCTCTACCGTGAACTATTGGTAACTGATCACAATCGTTATGTGATGGCAGCTCATCATGTCAGCTATCATATCTCACGGTATGTTAGATTACAGGGAGAAAGTCCTTGTGATCAGGAGAGATGACCACTACGAGTGCTGCCGACAACGCTCCTCGTCGTTGGGTT